CAGATGCATTTGGGGTCATGTGAGAAGAAGCGCCACTATCCACAAACCAAGATGCATCACCAGGCGAAGCATGAGACGAGAAAGAAGGACTAGAGTGAACATCTGAGACAAAAGCTTTAGAACCCAACGATGGGCGTTATATGTTTCAGTGGATTGATTTATATGTAAACAGGGCGTTATATCAGGCCAGTTGGTGTATGTTTCAGCGAGCGTTCCATAGGAAGGGACAGTCAGGGTGTTATTTTGTCATCAGCTATTCCAGTAATGATGTATGGCGCCGTATGAGTTGTGAGACGGCTTGGTAAATTTTTATGTGTTGAGGCTCCGCGTGGCGATGATGTTATGTGAGCAGAATGGCTCTTGAGATTCAGATCTGGTATCGCACCTCAGTGTGCCCGAGTTTGTGGATTATAGCGTTATATGTCTCCCCAGAGAATGGTATTATACACTTAGTGTATTTATGACTGATATTCGGTATTTGGTTGTAATGAGCAACTTAGCTCGATGTATATCTCCTTATGTGAGTTCTATGTGTGGATCGGTTGGCACGCCGCCATGCGTATGTTATTTGGATCGGTTGGCACGCCGCCATGGTTATGTTGTTCGGATCGGGTTGCGCGCCGCAACAGCGTGATGTTCAGTACAGTTCCCCATATCTGTTTATTGTGTTCCGTTTCCTATTTTCTGGAGGGGACTCATATTAGTTGTGCGCCCGCGTCGCATGTATGATTCGCGAGCGGGGTAATTAGAAATTCTTTTCAGAGTTCGTTTCCTTCTGTATCACGTTCTAATTGGTAGCCTATTGGCACATGGTAGCATCATATGGGACTTTTGATTGTGTCCGCGGTGGCTTATTGCCGAGCAGCTCGTACTAGGTGAGACGAGGTTGTTGGATTTAGGACCAGTTCAATTTGATTATATGAAGTGTATTAAGGAGCCAAGACCATTAGATGGTTCAGGAAGAGGCAATGACTCTTGTCAGGGGTATAGACCCAATGATTGGTTGATTCAGCAGTGGGTTATGAATTTCGGCACATCTCTTCCGTCGTGTTGGTGTTGTAAAAGTTAGAGCAAGACCCATGTAGGTCATGAGGTGCAATAGGAGCATCGGATTAGTGGAATTTCGATTAATTCGATCAGAAATGTTATTGTGATCCCATGAGTAAGTGATGCAAAGTGTGAATTCAACAAAGTTATGCAGTCGTGTTTGAGTACAGCGGTAGTGATTGATATGGTGATCGTATGTGGGGAGCAGGCCTGGCATGGAAATTCCGGATGTTGGAATTGGGCTCTAAGGCTTACTTGCTCGAATAAAAGGGAATATCCCCAGAATTGATCGAGTTAATATGCTCAGTTGAGTTGTGGTAGCACGGGAAGGTGCATGTGAAGTTAAACAGCGATTTTAGACCACTCCAGTACAGTTCTCAGCACGTTCGAGGACGAACGTATGTTTAAGTGGGAGAGAATGTAACGACCCGACCGGTCGTTTTGAGTCCCAGCGCTCCGTTCAGCAGTCGGAGGCCATGAACAGCTTCATTTCCGGTATTATGACTTGTACGCGTGGTCGGAATTGAATTTCGGGAAGTTCGGAGTTGATTTGGGAAGAGAATCCTCATTTCGGAAGCTTAAAGTTGAAAGAATGAACTAGGATTGGAATTTTTAGTAAACGACCTCGGAATCGGGATCGGAAGGTTCCAGCAGGTTCGTATGATGATTTCGGACTTGGGCGTATGCCCGGATCGGGTTTTGGATAACCCGGGAGCGTTTTGGCGCCTATTGTGGAAGTTAGCATTTTGGAAGAAATTTCATAAGTCTGGTTTGAAGTGCATTTCAGCGGTATAAATGTCCGTTTGGAGTTTCGAGACTGGGAGTAGCTCCGTATGGTGATTCTGGAGTTGGGAGCGCGATCGGAAGTGAATTCGGAGGTCAGTAGGTCATTTTGGAGCAATTTGGCTAAAGATAGAATTTGAAGGTTTTTGAGAAGTTTGATCGGAGGTCGACTTTTTGATATCGGGGTCGGAATTCTGATTCCGGAAGTTGGAGTAGGTCCGTAATGTCAAATATGACTTGTGTGCAAAATTTGAGGTCAATCGGACATGATTTGATAGGTTTAAACATCGGAAGTAGAAGTTTGGAATTCTTAAATTCATAAAGATTGAATTGGGGTGTAATTCGTGATTTTCGTGTTGTTTGAAATGATTTGAAGCCTCGAGCAAGTCCGTAATGTGTTTTGGGACTGGTTGGTGTGATTGGTTGGGGTCCCGGGGGCCTCGGGTGGATTCCGGGTGGTTAACGGATCGAAAATAGATTTTTGGAAATAGCTGAGTTGCTGGTTGCTGGTGTTTCCGCTTCTGCGGAGATGGGACCGCAGAAGCGGCCCCGCAGAAGCAGGAAAGAAGCCGCAGAAGCGGTCGAGCGTGAGGGTAGCCGGGACCGCAGAAGCGGCCCTTGATCCGCTGATGCGGAACCGCAGAAGTGGTAGGCTGACCGCAAAAGCGAAAATGGCTGGAGCTCCCTTGTCCGCAAAAGCGGAGTTTTGTCCGCAAAAGCGTGACCGCGGAAGCGGTAATAGTTCCGCAGAAGCGGAAATAGCTAGGGGCAAAAGCATTGTTTTTAAATCGGATGTTTGGCCATTTCTCTCATTTTCTTCACTTCATTGGGCGATTCTTGGGGAGCTTCAAGGAGAGATTTCATCATCGATGTAAAGGTAAGCTACTCCTACTTATTTCCAAGTTAAATACAAGACTATACCATGGAATTAGACATGAAAATTAGTATAAAAATTGGGGTTTTGGTGAAAAAACCTAGAAAATCATATTCTTGGAATTTAGCCACGATTTTGGGCATGGAATTTAGAGAAAATTATATATTTGAGTTCCTAAGGTCATGGGTAACCTTTATCTTCGAGAAATTTTGGATTCCGGGCACGTGGGACCGAGGGCATTTTGGTCATTTTACTAAGAGGAGTTGGGAATTTGTATAATCTGAATTTTTAACAAGTAATTGAGCATGTTCTCATTAGTTTGTCGTTAATTGGCTAGTTTTGGTGCATTGTGCGTCGGTTCAAGTCTTCGGAAGAATGTAGAATACCGGCTATGAGTCTTCGGAGCGAGGTGAGTCTCCTTTCTAATCTTGTGAGGGGGAATTTACCCCATAGGTGAGTTAAATTGGTTATGTGCTCCTATTTGTGGGGGCTACGTACGCACGAGGTGACGAGAGTCCGTGCGTAGCTACTATTATTCTATTGTCCGGGTAGTCTAGGACCCAAAAGCATGCTATACTTGGGATATTTAAAATCTTATTGACATTTGAATTGTTAAAATCAAGTTGAATTAGTAAATTAACTTCAGAAGGATTAAACTTCATTTTCTTGAATTGTTAAAAGAGGATTTGGTTTTTATTTGATAAAATAGCTCCGATAAATTCTTATTTGACTACTTGAGCATGTATTTTATGTGCACCTGCGTCGCATGCATGATTCGCGAGCAGGGTATGTGTTTATTTATGGAACGGGCCGAACGCCTCGGCAGATTTAATAGATGCATCTATTGGTTCGGGCCGCTCGACCCTCGGCAGTGCACAGTTTACATTCCTGTTGGAGCGGGCCGTCGCCTCGGTGTGATTGCGCATGATTATCTGTTGCTTAAGAATTTTAAATGTGGGATTGGCCCTTCGTCGCTTGATATAAACTGATAAGATAATAAAGAATAAACCTTGGAAGCCCTTGATTTATTATTGAAGGTGTTTACCTGTTTCCCGGCCTCACAATTAGAAACTTCTATATATATAAAAATCCATGATTATCCCCGCACTTATAGAATATTGTTAATTGACCTCTAGTGAGTGTCGAAGTTGGCCATCTCGTCTCTACTCCTTCGGGATTAGGCGGGATACTCACTGAGTACACGTTGATTACGTACTCATACTACACTTCTGTGCATTTTTGTTGCACAGGTATAATTTACATTTGATAGCAGCACGGACGATTCGGGGACTAGGTGGGTTGCAGTATGCAGGGCGGCCCGCAGCTTTTAAAGTCCCTTTCTAATAAATTGTATTTCCTTTCTGTCCATTGTATTCCGGACGGATGTTGTATTGTATTTTATATTCTTATCAGTAGATGCTCATGCACTTGTGACACTGGGTTCTGGGGATGGTTTTCGAAAGATGTGTACTAATTGTTATTATTTAAATTTGAACTCAAGTATTGATCTTTTATTTATGAAAAATGGGAGGAAAAAACCTGAGATTTTCAAAGTATTAAAAGAGGATTTAATTGATAATTTAGTTAAGCTGGCCTGACAGAGGTGTCCGGCGCCACCACGACCCTTAGTGGATTTTGGATCGTGACACATGTCCCCAGGCAAAGCGCCCCAAAGATGGTTTCGACCATCAGTGAAGTAATAGCTCGGGATCAAACTTGGTCCTCAATCGTCCCCGAAATATTAGGGATAGACTTATATTCAATATGCTAGATACGCCTCCCACAATTGGTGAGTATCTCGGTAATTACCAACCACTCAACGCGACGTGCGAAAAGGGGGATGGGCGTAATTCATTCAGACGCTATCGTACGAGCATGGTGGCTCATAAAGACGCTCAATAAGATTGTTCTTTTTTTTTTTTTGGCTTACTTTCATTGCTTTATTTACTGTTCATTACAAACTACTGAATTCAACCAACAATTTCGACCTTAGTCGTCGCGGTTTTCGCATATGATACTTTTAATAACTAAAGCGTTAATCTCAAAATTTAAAAAAAAAAAAAAGGATGTGTTATAATTACCATTTCCAAGATTAATTAAGGTGACCTTCAGAGGAGAATAAAAAAGATGTGTGAACTCTAATGATTAAAAGTCACATTCCAATGTTTACACATGTGAATGCAGAACGACTTGACCAGAGGACCTTTATCCTGTACCACTTGCGCAATTTTAATATTTTTTTGGTACAACTTGCGCAATTTCTTAAATGCAGCAATGTCCTGCAAAAATTAAAATTGAAGGACTAAAGGAAATAGCTATGGAGTATCGTAAATCTGTTTGTGCTCTGTTTATTTTTCTTTTTGCTGCCAGCAGCCTTGAGATTGTTTGCGCCCAAGTTCGTCGTACTAATGTCACTTGTTTTGAGAATGAAAGAAGAGCTCTTATCCAATTCAAGGAAAGCCTAGTTGATCAATCAAATCGTTTGTCGTCATGGATTGGAGATAACTGTTGCAAATGGAAGGGAGTTGGTTGCAACGTCGTAACTCGCCATGTCGTGAATCTTGATCTTTCTAACAAATTTCCTAATGCTGAAGACTTGGCCACAGTAATGAGCAGGGAGAGCTGGAAGAAGTGGGAGAAATTCAAAGGAACTGTATTAGGAGGTGAGCTAAATCCTTCTTTGCTTAAACTAAACCATTTACGTTACCTCGACTTGAGCTACAATAACTTTTCAAGAATTCAAATTCCACCATTTCTTGGATCTTTGAAAAACTTGAGACTACTTAACCTTTCATGTGCTGGCTTTGGTGGAAAGATTCCTCATCATCTTGGAAACCTATCAAGGTTACAACATTTAAACATAGGAATTTGCAAAACCTTTTTTGTCGTAGCGCATAATTTATTTGAAGCGGATAGTGTTCCTTGGGTTGGTAGGCTTACTTCTATAAGAACCTTACACTTTGTTGGATTGTCCATACCAAACAGTGAAGATCTTTTTAATTCAATTAACATGCTTCCTTCATTGTTATCATTGAGCTTGGTTAGTTGTAAACTCACTAGTTTTCCATCTCGTATGCATGTTAATTTCACTTCTCTTACTTCACTTGATATCCAAATGAATTTCATGGAATCCACTATCCCTACATGGTTTTCCAACCTAACAAGCCTAGTGAATCTCAATCTTGGTTTAAATTCATTCAAAGGTTCAACTGATTTCTTTGAGCAACTGAGGGATCTAGAAACACTAGATCTTAAGGTGAACCATTTTGGCGATCCAGTGTTAAATTCGTTATGCAGATTGAATAGCCTTGTTTATTTGGATTTATCCCGAAATCAACTTAAAAGCTCAGATTTTCATTGCCTTAGAAATCTAACGTCTCTTTCCGTCCTTAAATTGACTGGCAATATGTTGCAAGGGCCTTTCCCGGAGTCCCTAACAAGTAGTTTCTGTACATTGCGCGTTCTTGATTTGTCTGATAACAATTTCAGTGGGTTACTTCCGACATTTATTAGAGATCCATCTAGCTGCTACAAAAATTCCTTGAAGGAGCTGTACTTACGCAATAATGTGTACAATGACTACTTCCCTGCTGGACTGGAAAAGCACAAGGATCTTGAAATTGTTGATCTTGCCAATAATTCTTTGTATGGTCCTATCCCTTATTCAATTGGTAAGATAACGAATTTGAAAATCCTGTTAATTTCAAACAATGATTTGAATGGGAGCATTCCATCTAGTATTGGGGAACTATCAAATTTGGAAGACCTGGACATCTCCTACAACTTATTCACTGGTGTGGTCACCGAGCTCTATTTTGCTAAGCTTAGCAATTTGAAGAACTTGCAAATGTCGGGGAACTCGTTGATTGTGAATGTTATCTACACATGGGTTCCTCCTTTTCAAGTCAGAATGATAGGGATGTCATCTATAACAGTAGGGCCTCGTTTCCCCCCCTGGCTCGAAACACAGTTACAGCTTGAAAGGTTGATCATGTCCGATGCTAACATTTCAGATACGATCCCTGCTTGGTTTAGAAATGTAACACTGTCTTTGGGAACCATTGATCTCTCCAATAACAAATTAGCTGGTGGCCTAGAAGCTTTTTGTGATGCTCAACGTTTGTCCACCATCGATCTCTCCAACAATCTGTTATCAGGAAGTATTCCTTCATGTTTCGGGAACCTTCAAAGATTAATAACACTTACTCTGTCAGATAATAATCTTGAAGGTCATATCCCATCTTCTTTAGGTGCTTTAGGGATTCAACTTAGCTATTTGCATTTGCAAAACAACAGGCTAAGCGGGAAGCTTCCCTCGACTCTTCAAAATTTGACGAATTTGAGATCACTTCACTTGGGAGAAAATAATTTCAAGGATACTATCCCTGCATGGCTTGGTAGGAGGGTAAAGTCATTGCAAATTCTGAGGCTAAATTCAAATGAATTTTTTGGTGACATTCCCTTGCAACTATGCCAAATACGTTTCTTGTGTGTTTTAAATCTTGGTGGCAATAACTTGGATGGAAGCATCCCTCCTTGTTTTAAAAACTTTACTTGCATGAAAATCAAATCAAGGTACGACACTTCTTTTGGATTTCGCTATAATGAGAGACTTGATCACATTATGAAAGGGAGATCTCTGGAGTATACTGATAGTCAAATATCATCGCTTAAGTTGATGGATCTTTCAGAAAACAAATTTATAGGAGGTATCCCGGAGGAATTAACAGAGCTACAAGGATTGCTGAGTTTAAATTTGTCAAGCAATAATCTCAACGGAAGCATCCCAAAGATGATAGGCAATATAAAACAACTCCAGGCCCTCGATTTGTCTCTGAACAAACTCTCCGGTCCAGTCCCTCATGGTTTGGCTTCTTTGAACTATTTGAGCTACTTGAACTTGTCATTTAACAATTTATCAGGTCCAATTCCTACTGGAAATCAACTCCAGTCATTGGATGACAAGTCCATCTACGCTGGAAAAAATGGGCTTTGTGGATGGCCACTCTTGAAAAGTTGCCATGACAAGAGATCAACATCTCAGCCAAATCTTGATCAAGATGATAAAGGTGGCGCGGAGTCTAATCATTTATGGTTCTACGCGGGAATAGGACCTGGTTTCTGTGTTGGCTTCGTAGGGGTGCTTACTATTTTGCATTTCAAGAAATCCTGGCGTGTCATGTACTTTCAGTTCTTGGAGGATGTCCACAATAAGTTATTTGTTGCAATTTTTCTCATCATTGCTAAGTTTCAAAGAAGAGGCTGAAACAGAGAACAGCAGTACCAAGGACTTCTTAGTAATCCCACTACTTCTTATTACTTGTTCAGAAAATTTATTTTCAATTTGTATTACCCGGATTCATTTTTTCTTATGCACGAAATTTGAGATAAATTGTTTATTAATTCTGTTTACCCTAAAAATGGATAACAATTGGATTTATACGCGGTTTTAAAGATATGTTGACTAATTCAATACAAGTGATTAATAACATTAGATGAGCAAACTAAAGATAGAATAAACAGCCAAACCAGTAGTAATATTGAATCCGGGCTCGGTTATGAGCTTAACAATTAGCCTGCCTTTTGTTCAGAGCCAAACACTTATGCAGAACTATCAGCAAAAATAAGAACTTAGAATAACTTTTAGAAGCAGAGAAAACAATGTATATTGTCTTGGTATGCGTGTTACAGTGCCCCTATTGATTAATAAACTCCCCTTTTATATAGTAGGGGAGTTTTACCCTAAGTGCGATTCTAAGAAAGGTAAAGATCTTCCTTTTTGCTAAACACTGATCTGCCACCGATAAGGGCCGAGATCCACGCCGTGATATCCGGTTGAGCGCGAATATCACGGCCCTTCATTAATTATGCGCAACCATCTGGTAATGCTTTCCGAGGTCTCTGAGCCCTAACCGGATTCGGGCCGTTGTCACGATGGCCCCGATTGTAGGTGCTTCGTTCGGGCCTTAGTACGAGAGGTTCCTGGCTTCAATCCTGATTCCGTGTAGTTTTGTCCTTGCTTCTGTCACGATCCAAAATCTCACATGTCGTGATGGCGCCTATCTAAATACTAGGCAAGCCAATAACCTCAATAAATCTCAAATTCTTTTAAGTTTGAAAATATAATAATTAGATTTTTTTACAGCAAATCCCACAATATTTGGTACAATTACACTCCCAAAACCCGGTGTCATTGAGTACGTGGGCATCTAAATGATAACAAAGTCTGATTGATAAAAACACTTTCTGAAAATATAAAAGAGTACAATAACTGAAGGGAAAAGAGTAAAGGTCAGTGCATGCCAGGCAGCTACCTTGATAGTCTTCAACTGATAACACTCTGAGATCTAACAGTCGCCGTGTCCGAAAGCACCTGGATCTGCACACGAGGTGCAGGGTGTAGTATGAGTACAACCAACTCAATAAGTAACAAGACTAATCTTTGGGCTAAAAGTAGTGACGAGCTCAGCAGGTACAGTCTAGTATAGAAATAATAGTATAGAAATGTAGACACGCTTTCAAGTTCGGCAATTAACTTCGTTCAAGTAAAATAGATCAATACTGAGTGATATGAGAAATATGACATCTCATTGGAAAACTTCTTGTACTCACGATCACAAATTACTTGGTCACTGAGTACTGTATATGGCCAATCCAGCCTAGGGAATTTTATATATATATATATATATATATATATATATATATATATCAACTAACAGTCGGTGATTCAGTACCGTATAAGGCCAAATCCAACCCAAGGTAAATTTATCCCCAAATTATAATCATTTGGACAAGATCCATGTCTAGGGAAATTCAGCACAAATATAAATAAGTAAGGCAAGTCCATGCCCTAGGAAGTCCATCCCGAATATATAATCATCTACGCGCACTGTGTGGGAGGTAGACTCCGGAGGGGCTCCTTCAGCCCGAGCATGATATAAAGCCAATGTGGCCTGCTGCAGGCGGGCAGCCCCGATCCATATAATAATAAAGCCTATAAGGCCCGCCTGCCCCGATGTAGAACAACAAAACCTATCAAGCCTGCTGCGGCGTGCAGCCCCTCGATCCCATAAATATCCTCACAATGAATAACATGATTGAGTATGAAATGTACATTTTAAAATAATTAATTCAATAGCAACATGACCCTATGGGTCCCAAAATATCGGCACGTAACCTAAACATGATCTTTAGTACGACTCTCAGCTCAATTTCCTCTAACACGTGGAGGATATGCGGATAATGACATGATTCCTTAATTTTACTACTCCACAGAATTTATTTAAGTCACAATTTCTGTAGTGCACGCCCACACACTCGTCACCTAGCATGTGCATCACCTCCAACAATTGATATAACACAAAACTCGGGGATTCATACCCTCAAAACCAAGTTTAGAAATGTTACTTACCTTAAATCGTGTAATTTTTTATTCCTTGCCTCGAGAATCGGCCTTCAAACGCCTCGAATCTAGTCACCATTAATTTGATTCAATCAAAACATATTATAGGAATTAATTCCATATGAAAATAACAATTTTCCAATAAAATCCAAAATTACACTCCAAAATCGTCATTGGGGCCCACGCCTCGGAACCCGACAAAATTTATGAAATATGAACGCCCGTCCAACCACCAGTCCAACCATACAATTTTTATCAAATTCTGGCATCAACTCGACCTCCAAATCCTCAATTAAAGTCTGAAATTTTTCACCATTTTCAACCCAATTCACTGATTTAGGGGTAGAAAAAACAATTGATTCAGGTATTTTAACCAAGATTGAGTTAAGAACACTTACCCCGATGTTTTCCTAGCAAGTCTCTCGAAAATCGCCTCTCCCCGAGCTCCAAATCGTTAAAAATGGAAAATGGGACTACCCATTTTCAGAACTTAATACTCCTGCCCAGTCAATCGCATCCAAACTCCCATGATCGCGAAGCATAAAAAAATTTCACTCTATGCGATCGCGGCCATTCTCCCGCGATCGCGAAGCACAAATTTTCCAACAGCCTTCTCCAACTCTTCCGGACATCCTCTAGTATAATGATCATAACCTTTTGTACCAAACTTCAAATAATAAATGTTTTAACATTCTGAAAACTAGACACCAAGAAATACAATTTTCATGTTTTGGTCATCTCCCAATTTCTTATAGAGTTCGAGATATAAGCTGTCAAATTCAGCCCTATGCCGCACAAATTTCTTCTTCGCGATTTCCAAACTCCTCCCGGACAGCCTATAATATATCAACCATAACCTTTTGTACACAACTCCAAATAAAAATTGGTTTGATTTTCTGAAAACTAGACAAAAGGGCTACAACTTTCGTTTTTGGATCATCTCCAAATTCCTTATAGATTGCGAGATATAAGCTACCAAAGTCGGGTCAGTCTAGCAGAGATTTTCCTTTACGCAATCGCGAAAGACCTTCCACGATCGCGATTCACTGGCCATTTTTTCCCATTTTGTGCTTCGCGATCGTGGCCAATTCCACGCGATCGCATAGCACACTGCTGTAGCCAAAATCAGTAGCTATAAATGGCTTAGAATTGGTCTGAAATCACCCTGAAACTCACCCGAGCCCCTCGGGACCCCGTCCGAACATACCAACAAGTCTCAAAATATATCACGGACTTAGTCGAGGCCTCAAATAACATCAAACACGCTAAAAATACGAATCATAGCCAAATTCAAGCCTAATGAAACTAAGAAATTCCAACTTCTACATTCAATGCCGAAGCCTATCAAATCAAGTTCGATTGACCTCAAATTTTGCACACAAGTCATAAATGACATAACGAACCTATTCCAATTTTCCGAATCGGATTTCGACCCCGATATCAAAAGGTCAACTGTCGGTTAAACTTTCGAATTCCATTTTTCCAACTTTTGCCAAAATGCTTCAATTTATTCTACGGACTTCCAATCCAATCTTGAACGCACGCCTAAGTCCGAAATCATGATACGAAGCTATTGGAATCATCAAAATTTTATTCTGGAGTCGTTTGCACAAAAGTCAAACTTTGGTCAACTCTTTTCATTTAAGCTTTCAAAACAGGAATTGTTCTTTAAATTAAATCCGGATCCGAAAACCAAACTTGACCACCCTCGCAAGTCATAATACACATTTAAAAGCTGCTCGAGACCTTAAGCAACCGAACGGAACACTAATTCTCAAATCGACAAGTCGGGTCATTACATTCTCCCCCACTTAAACATAGACCTTAAGCAACCGAACAGAACATTAATTCTCAAAACTACAAGTCGGGTCATTACATTCTCCTCCACTTAAACATATGTTCGTCCTCGAACGTGCCAAGAGTTGTGCCTAAACCTTCAAATCACTATTTCACCTTATCACGCACATACACGGGGATGATCCCACGTCACCCTATTCCATATAGGCCTGGCGACACCACATAACTGAAAATTACTAATTTAGCATTAGCCCATAAACCTTGGAATCCAATTTCCAACATCCAAAATTTATTTTCAAGACCCGAATCTCACATCTACACTCCGTATGCGTCTTAACAAGTTGTATTAAGCCTTAGCCATAACTCCAGATGTAATCACATGATATACCACACAACCCGCATACTCGCAATAGTTTCTAATCATTGTAGTTGCTTAAAAGCAAACCCGATACCGGTATTAAACCCTATATCAAACAACACCTCATTCCAAAACCTTCGTACACTGCCGATAATGAAAGAAACACGCGAAATTTCATGACCACTTACCAGATCAACAAGTTACGGAGCTTTCCCTTGTTCAACAATTACCATAGCCAATTATTTTAGCCAAATTCTAAATCATTCTTCCAACAGGCTGTAATCAAACCTGATAGTATCCATTCTAGGTCCAATGACCTTATATCACCAACACAACTATTCTAGCTTTTCCGGTGTAATCCTGCCTTTCCGGCACAGAACATTATTTAAAACCAACTCATCAAATTCTGTGAGAAGAACATATGTCTGTGCATTTGCACAATTTTTTTCTCAAATTGCCCTAATCAGGCTATAGCATAGCATGTAGAGGAACGAAATAATTAATCAGATAAACGATCAAGGAAATGGAAATTCAACATTACACGGACAACTCACGTGCTAACAATAGAACCCGCACGGACAACTCACGTGCCAATAATATAATCCGCCTGGTATAGTCCCAGGCCTCCAGTCCAAATATATCATATGGGAGCATTTAAATAGGTATGCAGGTATATGATGAGTAGGATAAGATTCTCATGTTCCTGGACTGGTATAAATGCCATGCTAAAGTGTATGCATGTATAAAGTGTGCTATCGTAGCTCAAATCGAAAATCTTTCATCACTGGGGCATTTATCAAGTTCATTCAGGGATTTAACTCCTATGTAGCCTCAATCACGGATCAAATAGCTCATGTAATGTTATAGATATGAGAAACATCATAGCTTAAAGCTCAACAGTCGATTCCGGGCTTATTATAGCCCAAACGCAATCTAAGCATGGATACATAGCCCTCTAAAAAGTCCTCAATGACTTAACAATAACATGTACTATTATCTAATTAACCTGGCCACACATTCATAGTCCGCGGCCTCGAAATAATTTGCTTATGAGAACTCTCAGTCCCCAAATTCATAAAACACATGAACCACCATAACTGATGACAACTCCAGCACTCGAATGACTAAAACATCCTTCATGCACGATATTCCCACTAGGAATACTTCCATAATTCTTCCATGCCACATAACAATAATTTTAATATTAGTAGTCTATCAACCAGTCGGTGGAAGTTGGCGTGGATGTGAGGCTTGAATCACAGGTTATCCCAAGCAGAGGCAGCTTCAAGTACCTTGGGTCGATTATCCAGGGGGGAGGGGAGATCGACGAGGATGTCACACACCGTATTGGGATATGATGGATGAAGTGGAGGTTAGGATCTGGAGTCTTGTGTGATAAGAGAGTCCCACCGATACTCAAAGGAAAGTTCTACAAAGTGGTGGTTAGACCGGCCATGATGTATGGGGCTGAGTGTTGGTCTGTTAAGAAATCATATATCCAGAAGATGAAAGTAGCAGAAATGAGGATGTTGAGGTGGATGTGTGGGAATACTAGGATGGATAAGATTAGGAATGATGTTATTCGGGAGAAGTTGCACGTAGCTCCCATTGATGCCAAGATGCGGGAATCAAGGCTAAGATGGTTCGGGCATGTTAAGAGGAGAAGCTCAGATGCTCCGGTAAGGAGGTGTGAACGGCTGGTTGTGGAGGGCACGAGAAGAGGTAGAGGGCGGCCTAAGAAATATTGGGGTGAGGTGATCAGGCAGGATATGGAGAGGCTTCGAATTTTCGAGGACATGACACTTGATAGGAAGATGTGGAGGTCGAGTGTTAGGGTTATAGGTTAGGAGGTAGTTGAGTCTTACCTTACTTCACACCTTTGTAAGACTAGTCTGATAGAGTTTTTTGTCTAAGATAGTTAGTGGCGATGTTGTGTCTTACTATATCGCTTTTCAATGCATGACCTTTTGATTAGCTTTCGCTTTTGCTTTGCATCTTTCTTCTAGATTTCATATTGTTCCTATTTTTACTACGATTTCTGTGGTGATACTAATATTGTCTCATTTTTGTCTTTTTATTTTCTTGAGCTGAGGGTCTTCCGAAAACAGCCTCTCTACTCCTTCGGGGTAGGGGTAAGGTATGCGTACACACTACCCTTCCCAGACCCCACTAGTGGGATTTTACTGGGTTGTTATTGTTGTTGTAGTCTATCAACCAGGTGAGTACCGCAATACCAATGAACATCCGTAAGTCAAAACACAATGCGCCTTCTGAAATGTGCACCATTCTCAGGAATTACCGAGCAGTTATAACATTCATCTAAATGTCTAAAACTGACCATGTTGTCCATAATTCATGACCTTCCCTTCAAAACTGAACAGCCACCTTGTACATGCAATTCTCAATCCCACAGGACACACCGCCTCTATTAGACCACCATACAAGAAGTACGAGAATTTCATATCAACTCTGAGTCACCAGTAGAATACATACCTGATTAGTTAGAAATCTTCCATCTGCTTCCTTCCAGGAGGAAATCACAAAACACAACACGTTCCTCACACCGGTAGAAAGTATCCGGCTCAAACCATGGTAGAAACCATCAAGAACACTTTGAAATCTGTTTGCATATAATCAAGCTATCAAAACTGAATTCCTCTAACTCGACCAAGCCACGTAGGTTACCAAACCCAAGAATATTGCCACCAAAACATCCGTAGAGCCTCACCACATCATAATTACCCTTATAAATACCACAACCGAGACACCAACTCTGAATAGACCTTATGTGGACTTAAAACTGTTCTTTTCCTTTCTTATACAGGAATGTAGAATCCATAGTCATACAAAATTACCGCAAGTCCCGGCATCATCAAATGCAAATCTCAGATTCTATCTATACACAAGTCCGGAAAAATTCTCAATTGTCATATATAAATCTCGGACCGATTGGAACCTTCTCGAGAGTCACCCACTCTACTCATACATGAATTGCACCGCCCAAAAGGGCCAAAAGACACATGCCCCATTTGCACAACAACACTCAAATAAGTAACCCTGCCTTAACACCACCGGTCGAATACATATTCCATGCGAACTACATTCTTTGCAATTAACAACTTAATCATTCCACGATTTTTTATATTTTCATAAGTGCATTATATCCCGTATTCAGAAAATTTCCTTACTTGAGTCATCCTCGATCTCAGCCTATGCAGTCATAATTGCTCCACAAGTATGTCTCGGACCAAAACCTAAATTTAACCTATAACCATGAAATCGAATTCTCAATAGCAGGCTCCCCCACTTGGCTCAAAGCCATAGATCAAAACATTAAATAATTCACAATACCCATATTCAATTACTTCCATAACACCATAGTGAGATTTAACTAAATTCTTCCCAAGCTCATGCAACACAACCTATATGGTACCTCAAATCATCTACTAAGTTCGCCTTCATTCCTGTGACGGTCAAGTCAACTTTCTTGACTAATTCAAATTCAAATCTCAATACATCTACCCTACTAATATAAAAGAAGATTCTCCACACAATATTATCCACACAAGTGCGAGTTTTGGCTAGACTCGGTGGTATTTTTGGGTCATGTGGTATCCACTGAGGGGATTAAGATAGATCTGAAGAAGGTTGAGGTAGTTAAGAGTTGGTCGAGACTGTCTAGTGCTATAGTGCTCGGGAGTTTCCTTGGGTTGGCTAAATATTATCGCCATTTTATGGAGGGGTTTTTATCTATAGCAGTCCCATTGACTAAATTGACGCAAAGAGGTACCCCCTTCAAGTGGTCTGATGAGTGTGAGGAGAGCTTTCAGCAGCTGAAGACTGCCTGGACTACAACTCCGGTTCTGGTTTTGCTTTCGAAATCGGGTTCTTATACATTCTATTGTGATGCTTCACGGATTGGTATTGGGTACGTGTTGATGCATGAGGGGAGAGTGATTACATATGCTTCACGTCAATTGAAGCCCTATGAGAAGAACTACCCATTGCACGATTTAGAGTTAGCAGCCATTGTTCACACTCTTAAGATTTGGCGGCACTATCTTTATGACGTGTCTTGTAAGGTGTTCACGAATCACATGAGTCTCCAACACTTATTCAAGCAAAAGGATCTGAACTTGAGACTAATGGGATGCCTGCCTTAAACAATATAGAGACTTTTTAAGTCTACAAATATGATTTGGACTTGTAGGGGACATACCGCTAGAAAACTTCATGTACACTTCCTCTTCCAATTTATCATTCAGAAATACATTATTCACATCAAGTTGTGATATCTTTCGGTCCTTTTTTACTATAACTGTCAAAATGTATTAATTGTGGTCATTTTTACCACAGGGCTGAAAGTTTCATTGAAATCAATTTCTTCTCTTTGAATGTCTCTTCTTATGACTAAATTGGCTTTTAATCTTTTAATGCTCCCATCCAGAATTCTAAGAAACACAACATCTTATGAAGTTTTATTTAGAAAGGTTCCATCTTACTCATTCTTAAGAAGTTTTGGGTGTTTATGCTACGTATCCACATTTTCACACAATAGAAGAAGATTTGAACCTAGAGCAAATGCATGTGTTTTCATGGGATACCGTTATAGGAAAAAGGAATATAAGTTTCTAGAATTGAAAAGCAAAAAGATGATAGTTTCAAAGATGTGCAGTTCTATGAAGCTATTTATCATTTTTTTAAGGATCTTTTTTACCTTCATGTAATTTGTTTGCACCTTTCATGTTCAACCAAGTATCCTATGAACATACTGATGTTTGCATCCCTCAAAACTTAGATATCAGCAATGATCCTCATGATTCAACTGTGGACTTGGATTCTCCTATCACATGTAAAAATTTAGAGACAGATTTCGGAAAAAGTTTCTTGTCTATTTCATTTCTGATCACTAATGTATTTATATACCTAATAAAATAAAAATAAATACTTTCTATTTTTGTAGATTTTCTATTGGTTATACACTATATTCCAAAGAATATACAGCTAATGTACCATTTGTACAATTTTATCAAATTTATCTGTTTGTTTTTGTAATCTGTTGGGTTGATCCAACGACTGGGATACTCCACCAGTACTTGATCCAAAGACAGAGGTTTTCCCACCTGTCTTCTTTGTGATTGTGCAGCTAGCATTGATTTTTATCGAACGGTCCTGATTAAAAGATTTCATTAATGATCCATGGGTCTTGGTTGTGCCCCGTGTCTCATTTGATTGCTCAAATCTTTTTGAGACCAAGGGTTTGGTCTTTTGTACTTTGCAATTTGTCTGAACATTATTTCCGTCGAAGCTTCCTCTTCCTTCTTTCTTCTTTATTCTTCTTCGATCATTTAGCTCATGCTTAGAATTGTGAGAGTTGGAAGTGAAAGTGGGAGTTCCAATTTCAACATCTTATTTTATGCCCTATTGGATAAAAAGAAAAAAGGTTTAGCTAAAAAAGGAAATAATAATTTATGTATATTTATGTCTTAACAACAATCATTTTCCATGATTTTAGCATCTATCAAACAGTATAAAAACATTCAAGCTGCTTCTACACTAAACTAACAAACAGATATGCTATCCAAGTCATCTTTGACACTTTGCATGTCTCGCGTTAATATCGCACAACCAATGGCTGAACAGAGTGCACAATTTTCCTCGTATGACCAAACTCTCCAAATTATTTGAACTTGAGACATAGATTGAATATTATGTTAGTATATAGGAGTAGTTTGTAAATGAATTAAGTCAGAATAAATACAAAGGATTAACATTAAATGGGACATAGTTGATTGAATATTATGACAGATGGTTCCTGTACCACAGGTTTGTTTACTTCATCTAACCTCTCGTTATTAAAACAAATCTGATTTTGGGATGTATCAATGCTCTTCTTGTTCTTCATCTTAATTTGCCTTGTGCCCCTGCAGTAGATATGGAGGACAAAGAGCCAATTTTGTCTACATTTTGATCAAAAATTTTTGGGTATGGGCAACTGGTTCACCTGTTGCGTTCAAAGGCGTGAGAAAGTCGCAGGAGTCCCTAAATCTGGAATTTTAACGTTTGCCAACTCTGTAGGAACCAGTGGTATTATTCTTCATTCCTGATAACATGCAATTCCAATATTTTCTTTTGTAAAATGGTGGTCGGCTCGGGTCAGCTTGGGCTCCCATCAATAATTGGTATTGGCAAATCCCAATGCCTGTGTATATTTTAGTTCGTTTCAAGACGGTTTATGATTATGACTTTTCTCTTTGTATTTCCTAACAAATTGTGGTATATACGACTTTAATATACAGCCACTCAGAAATGTGATTATGTTCCATCGTATTTATAGTTTTGCTTCAAAGCATATGCAATAGCCTAAGAGAATGCTAGGGATGACCAGCAATATTGCTATGATTTACTGCAGGGTTTAAAAAGACACTTTATGATAGCGGCTTTTGCCTTTTGGGGTGAGTTTGAAACACAAGGGTCGAATGCAAAGACATTCTACTTTATTACTCCTTTTATTGTAAGATAGTTTACGAGTAATGAGGGATATTTGCCTACTTTCTTGTCCTCTTCTCCTCTTAATTGTTGTATTTACTGTTCAAGAATGATGAAGCAACACACTGAATTTGCCAAAGACGTCAACCTTTAAACATTTGCATAACTGCTTGATTGTTTTGTGCATTATGTAAAGCATCGATATTTTGTTATGCAAGATTTGAGGGACTGAGGATAATCATTAGTTTTTTTGTATCTGGAAAATATGAGTTATTATGTCTCTAGTAATTGTAATTGCAGCTGAGCAGGGCGAAGACGGAATACATGGAGTGTAAGTTCAGCGCTGAGTCGAGGGAAGTGGACGTGGATGTGAGGCTTGAATCACAGGTCATCCCGATTAAAGGCAGTTTCAAGTACCTTGGGTCAGTTATCCAAGGGGGAGGGGAGATCGACGAGGATGTCACACACCGTATTGGAGTGGGTGGATGAAGTGGAGGTTAGCATCTGGAGTCCTGTGTGACAAGAGAGTGCCACCGATACTCAAAGATAAGTTTTATAAAGCGGTGGTTAGACCGGCCATGATGTATGGGGGTGAGTGTTGGCCTGTTAAGAATTCACATATCCAGAAGATGAAAGTAGCAGAGATGAGGATGTTGAGGTGGATGTGCGGGCACACTAGGATGGATAAGATTAGGAATGATGATATTCAGGAGAAGGTGGGCGTGGCTCCCATTTATAACAAGATGTGGGAAGCGAGGCTAAGATGGTTCGGGCACATACAGAGGAGAAGCCCGGATGCTCCGGTAAGGAAGTGTGAGCGGCTGGCTTTGGAGGACACGAGAAGAGGTAGAGGGCAGCCTAAGAAGTATTGGGGAGAGGTGATCAGGCAGGACATGGCGAAGCTTCAGATTTCCGAGGACATGGCCCTTGATAGGAAGCTGTGGAGGTCGAGTATTAGGGTTGTAGGTTAGGAGGTAGTTCAGTCTTTCCTTAGTTCGTACCTTTATGAGGCTAGTTTGGTAGGGTTTTTGTCTGCGACAGCTAATGCCAATGTTGTGTCTTACTACTCTTTCGTTTTTCATAGTGCCGAGTTAGTTACCGGTTATCGCTTTTGCTTTGCACCTATTTTTTGGTTTTCATCATGTTGTTATTTTTCTTATGTTATCTGTTGGTGGTACTGATATTGTCTCTTTTCGTCTTCTTGAGCTGAGGATCTTTCGGAAACAGCCTCTCTACTCCCAAGGTAGAGCTAAGGTCTGCGTACACACTACCCTCCCCAGACCCCACTAGTGGGATTATACTGGGTCGTTGTTGTTGTTGTTGTTGTAATTGTAAATGCATACTTTGTTCATGTTTTACCAAATAAGATGCAAACCTCTCCCACACTGACATGTTTCCAAATATACTTGTTTTAATCAGATTATGCATATTATTCAGGAGCGACAGAACATGCCAGTCACCCTTTGCCTGTTCCAGGCAAGAATTCTACTAGGAAAAAGAGAACAGGGATTGTACCAAGTCCAAGGTCTGAGAGTGAAATACTATCATCTCCTTATTTAAGAGCGCTTTTGCTCTCTGAACTTGCAAAGGCCACCAACAATTTCCATCGCGATTGCCTTCTTGGTGAAGGAGGATTTGGTTATGTTTATAAGGGATGGCTATGCGAGGAAACACTAACTGCTTCAAGACCTGGATCAGGACTGGGAGTTGCAGTAAAGAAGCTCAAGCCTCGAGGTTTGCAGGGCCATAAGGAGTGGCTGGTGGGTTACGTTACGTTGTTTCCTAACTAATTTGTTTTTCTATTCCTGGCACCTCATTATGTATGTTGATCGTTTTCTTCCTATAGTCAGAAGTAAATTATCTTGGGCAACTTCGTCATCCAAACTTGGTCAAGCTCATTGGATTCTGCTTGGAAGGTGAAAACCGGCTATTAGTATATGAATTTATGCCAAGAGGGAGCTTGGAGAATCATTTGTTTCGAAGTGAGTCATCATTTTACATATTTCTTTCAACTACTTTAGGGTCCATGTGACTGAAGTGATTCGAAATCCATTCATTTGCGAACACTTAATTTGCTTGTATAAATAAGCTAAGCTCATCTTGGTTTCTTCTTACATAAGCATTTCTTTTTATCTTCAAAATGTTTTGCATTCCTCGATCTGGTTCTCACTTGAATGATGAAATCCTTGCATTATAGCTGTACAACGATAGATATTACAACTTTTTTCTGTTGTCCTATACTCTAGAATTGGCAAGTTGTGGTTGTTAAATCTTCAAGGGTTCTCAATATTAATCATCTCAAGTAGCTTCTCGAGGTATTTTATCTTTCACCAGTGTTGGACCATTGGATTACAGTTGCCTAACTATAGTTATACAAACCAGAATCAATTATGGAGTTCCCTGGAAAAAGATATTAAATTACAGCTAAGTTATTAGTATAAATTACTCTAGACATGACTATTCAGTTAGTATTATGTATACTTTGCAAGCAGCTATACAACTATCTTTTTAATTTGTACTGCATGCAATTACTGGCTAGGCTAGGTAAATTTTCTGTTTTTACTTCATGAATTGGGTTATTACATAATACCCTATCAAAACTTTGTCCAAATCCATTTTACTTAAAATCTAATCCATCCAAATTGGTTGCATCGTGACGGGCGATGGAATCCAGGTTTAGCTTGAAACCCCTTTTAGCCTTTCGCGATACTTGACATTGTATGGATGAAATAAAAACATCATGAGATTTCCTTTTAGATTCAAGTCTATTGACCTGAAATTGTCCAATTTGCAGAGAGTGCATCAGTTCTTCCATGGGCAACAAGGATTAAAGTTGCTATAGGTGCTGCTCGAGGACTTTCTTTTTTGCATGACGCGGAACCACAAGTTATCTATCGTGATTTTAAAGCTTCTAACATCCTTTTAGACCCGGTATGCTCAAGAATTGCTTTTTTTTGCGGCTTTTAACCAAATTTCTCTGATCATTTGGTTGCCTTTATTTTCATTTTTTTTGTGGGTTTATGTGAGGCCAACATGTATGATTTGATTGGCGGGTAGATGAGTACTTCATAATTGAATTTCATATATTCTTCATGTAGGATTTTAATGCAAAACTTTCAGATTTTGGCTTGGCAAAATCTGGTCCAACTGGTGATCATTCTCATGTATCTACTCAAGTAATGGGTACTCAAGGATATACTGCTCCTGAATATCTTACTACAGGTTCATTTATTTTCAATCAAGTCAAGATTTCTTCATGTGCTATTGCTTTATTTATTAAAGTCCTGATTGCACTTCTGATCATCCGGATTGATCATATAATACTAAAACTTGCCAATATGGTTTTGTTTCTTTCATCCAATCATTCACCTCTATGAAAGCATATCGTCGTTTAGGTCAAATTCTGGCTTGTGCTATCTCTATGGCTTCAGAAACTCAAAGTGTATAAAAAATGTGAATATTATCGGCTCCTAGTTTGACCACATCTGTTTATCTTTGGCAGGTAAACTAACAGCCAAATGTGATGTTTATAGCTTTGGGGTTGTTTTACTCGAGCTGCTTACTGGTCGTCGTGTAATGGATAAAAAGAAGACTCGTGCAGAGCAAAACCTGATCGAATGGGCAACTCCGTATTTGCATGACAAGAAAAAGTTGTTCAGGATTATGGACACTAAGTTAGAAGGGCAATATCCTCGAAAAGCAGCAACGATAGCAGCCACTCTTGCATTACATTGTGTAAATCCTGAAGCAAGGGGCAGACCAGATATGTCATTCGTGTTGAGTGTTTTAGAACAGCTCCCTTCTAAGTATACGTCTGGTCGTCCATTTGGAGATAGGAGAAAGGTGTCTAAATCTCGACATAAATCTGAATCTTCATTACCAGGCAGTGTTAGGACAAAACACGCCTCTTGTGTTTCAGAAGGTACAAAATCCCCACGAGAACGATCATAACAGGCAGTTTTCAGTGCAATGGAGTTTTTTGGCCAATTGTATTTAACTGTGTCATTTTGTATCATGCTTATTATAAAGTAGCAACACCCAAATATGATCTTGTATATAACAATTATTAACTATACCGCAAGAACTCAGCCTAAGTTGCAGGGGTTACTTCTAGTAACAAGCTAAATTAGCTCCAGTGTAGCGTTCGCTTATTAAAAAAAAATCACTTGTTCCATTCTCAACATTGCAAATTCTTTCAATTCCTTTTTCACTGTAGCCACATTATAAGGATCCTTGTTTATTATTGCAAATTACATGTTGGAAAAATATAATGGCGCAGTTGATTTAAAGGGTCCTTGGTTATCTTTCCCTTCTCTCCTTTTCTCTCACTAGCTGAAGCTTCCTCTAAAAGTTTTTTTCTTTTTGACCATGAATAGTTGTCATAAGCAGTTCACTAGTGACATTGCCCATTAAGGAATTAAAATTATGAACACTTCGCAGTGCGATCTGTTTTTCAAACTTTTGTTAAAGAAGATATCAATTCATAAATAAGATGATAAAAGTCCAACTAAATGTTAGGCTGGTCATTCACCATAGTAGAGACCAATAAAAGAACTTTAAAAAATTCATAAATCTAATTAATGAATTTCCCAAAACGAAACTGCTGTTCGAGGCTCGAAATCAGATGCTACGAGCCTCTAAATCCGATCTCCACCGTTCAAATCCAAGACCAAGATGTTACGAACACTCGGTCAAAATTTCAGCCCGATCCAACGGTTAACAAGTCGGAAAACATGATTTGAAGTTGGCTGGTCGGAATAAAAATCTGCAGCAAAACAAATACTTTTTTTTTCTCTTCTCTCTTGATGAAAGCTCTCTCAAAACCCACTCTTGGCATATTCCATGGTCACCTTACCTCCAGGAGCTGAATTTGTCAAAGAAACACGAAGAGTTTCCCAAGAGTCTGGCAGAGTATTAAGAAGCCAAAGTCCTTGTATCTCATCATCAAAATTAACCCCCATTCCAGATAGCTGATCAAGGACGCCCTGAAAATCATTTATGTGATCAAGGATAGGGCTGCCTTCCTTGTATTTAAAGGTCATCAATTGCTTTAGCAGAAATAATTTGTTGTTCCGAGTTTTTGAAGCATAAAGAGTCTCTAGCTTTTCCCACAATGATCTCGCATGTATCTCGTTCACCATATGGTTGCGAACATTATCTTCAACCCATTGCCGTATATATCCACATACTTGTTGGTGCTCGAAATCCCAATCTTCATCGGATATACTCTCGGGTTTATGAGCTGGAAAAACGGGTAGATGCATCTTCTTCACGAACAACAAGTCTTTCATCTTGCTTCTCCAAACATTATAATTTCTCCCATTTAAACATACCATCTTGCTCATATTCGCCTCCATTCCGTAATAACCCGGATAAATAATCAAGGCTCTGATACCACTCTGAGGAAGAGGCAAATCCGAAAATAAAGAAGATAAAGAACACCAAATTTTAACGTGGAAAACCCTTCAAATCGAAGGTAAAAACCACGGGATCACAAAGATCCAAAAAGCTCCACTATAACAATAAGAGTGGTGTGTTGAATGAGGAAGAAAGGAGAAAATCGCAGGGTTCATCCTCACAAGCAGATATCTTGGTTACAGAAGACCGGGGGAGAGATAGAACAAGAGGCTCAAGGAATAGAGGTAAAAGTAGAAGTAAGTCAAGGTCCAAATACTATAATGTTACATGCAACCACTGTGGCAAGAAAGGACACATCAAAAGGTTTTGCCGCAAGTTGAATCAAGACACTAGAGAAGAAAGTTGAAAATAACGAGAACAATGTTGCTGCTATTGTTCAAGATGACCTTCTTTTTGCTTATGATGAAAACGTCATCAATTTGGTATCCCATGAGACGAGCTGGATAGTAGATTCTGGAGCTACCTCACATGTCACACCAAGAAAAGATTTTTTCTCATCTTATACTCATGTTGATTCTGGAGTGTTAAAGATGGGCAATGCCAGTGAAGTTAAGGTGTTTGGTGTTGGCACAGTTTGTTTGAAAACTAATAATGGTTCAACGTTAGTTCTTCAAGATGTGAAGCATGCTCCAGACTTTCCTTTCAATTTGATCTCCGCAGGAAGATTAGACGATGAAGGTTACCATAATGCTCTCTTTAACGGCCAATGGAAGCTCACCAAGGGCTCGTTAGTTGTGGCTCGAGGAGTCAAGTCTGGTCAGTTATATGTGACACAAGGCTCTATGCTTAATGACTCAAAAAATCTGGTGGAAAGTGATAGTTTGTCAGAATTGTGGCATCGAAGATTGAGTCATATGAGTGAGAGAGGGATTACGTGTTTGGCTAAGAAAAGTTTGCTCTGGAGTAAAACAAGCAAAGCTGCATACATTGTTTAGCTGGCAAACATAAAAGGGTTTCCTTTCATAGCCATCCTCCCTCAAGAAAGCCCGATTTATTAGAGCTAGTACACTCTAATTTGTGTGGTCCTTTTAAAGTAAAGTCAAAAGGTGGTGCACTTTACTTTGTGACCTTCATTGATGATCATTCTCGTAAGCTCTGGGTGTATCCTTTGAAATCTAAAGATCAAGCACTTGGCGTGTTTAAGGAATTTCAGGCCTTAGCTGAGAGACAGACGGGGAAGAAATTAAAATGTATTCGCACCAACAATGGTGGTGAATATTGTGGTCCCTTTGATAACTATTGCAAGGAACAAGGAATTCGTCATCAGAAAACTCCGCCCAAGATGCCTCAATTGAACGGTTTGGCAGAGAGGATGAATAGAACTCTAGTTAAGAGAGTTAGATGCTTACTTTCAGAGGCTAAAATTCCAAATACATTTTGGGCGGAAGCACTTAACACTGTTGCCTATGTTATCAATTTGTCTTCTGCTGTTGCTTTGGATGGTGATGTCCCAGACAAAGTTTGGTTTGCCAAAGATGTTTCTTATGATCACCTGAGAGTTTTTGGGTGAAAAGCTTGTGTGCATATTCCTAAAGATGAGAGATCGAAACTGGATGTCAAAACTAAGCAGTGCATCTTTATCGGTTATGGTCAAGATGAGTTTGGATATTGTTTTTATGATCCAATTGATAATAAACTTATTAGAAGTCGTGATGCAATATTCTTTGAAGACCAAACTATTGAAGATATTGACAAAGCTGAGAAGATAGATTCTCAGAGTAATGAGAGCTTAGTTGATATTGATCCAGTTTCAATTGCTAAGGCACCTATTGCACATGAAGGAACCCAAGTGTCACGACCCCAGTTCACCCTCCATGAAACATGTCGTGATAGCACCTAGTTCCTACAACTAGGTAAGCCTAACAGTGCGGAATAACAAATTAACATTTGTGGAATAATAAATTAAAACTGAACATACGGAAATAACAACTGTATACAAGGCCACTCAGCCTATACAACTCGAAATATGCGGAAGTCTGCAACTAAATCCCAAAACCCGGAAACTCACGGGAAACACAGGCTAATAGAATATAGTAAACTGCTCTACACCAGAATGTCTGAACAACATGAAAGGAAAGAAAAGGAACTATATGCTAAAGCCGGAATAGAGTAAAGACTCCTGGTCTGCGAACGTAGCAGATATACCTCAAGTCTCAGCTAGGACTCTCCACCACGAGGATGATACGTCTGGGAGGAAGTACCTGGATCTGCACATGAAAAACATGCGCAGGAAGGGCATGAGTACACCACAGCAGTACTCAGTAAGTGCCAAGCCTAACTTCGGTTGGATAGTGACGAGGAAGGTCAGGGCCCTACTGAGATAACATAATAAATAATGAGATAAATGAAATAGTTTAAATAAAGTCTACAGCGAGAATCTAAACCAGGTAAATAAGGAAGAACAGTAATAGAAAGCAAGGTAACAATACACGGAAAACTGCCCTCACAAGGAATAGTAGCCGGGGGATCTCTTGGTATCCCGAGGATCTCTTGGTATCCTCATCATCAACGCTGGGGATCTCTCGGTATCCCGAGGATCTCTTAGTATCCTCAATAAGTAAGTCGGGGATCTCTTAGTATCCCGAGGATCTCTTGGTATCCTCAATAAGTAAACCGGGGATCTCTTGGTATCCCAATATATATATAGAAACACATGTGCCAGGGATCTCTTGGTATCCCGCACCCTCAGTCCAGAATATCTCAAGTACAGAGGGATCTCCCGGGAAGCCGTCCCGTAGTCCCAAATTAACACACAACAACAACGATTCCTAAATCTCGGAACAATGCTAAAAATCAGGACACGAAGTAGTAAATTATAGCCTAACATGCTTCACAGAGTACAATAGCACAGTTAAACGCAAATAAGCAGGTAAGCCAGC